GTCGGTGGTGTCGTGCCGGTCGGTCGAGATTTCCTCCTGCGGTTCCTGAGAAGCGCTTGCCCTAGGATTTGGTAGCTCGGTTCACCGCGGCGCGTGCGTTGTGCGGGTTCGATTCGGGCCGATTCGTGCTCGCGGGGCGTCGGAATCGTTTCGTTCTGGTCGGGTTTTTTCGGGGGTGGATTTTGGTGCTGCTTGGCGGGATTTTCACCGATTTCGTGCGCGGGTTTGGGGCTTTGGGCGTGCAAGGGAGGTTAGCCATGGGGTTTTGTGGGGGTTTCTGCTCCAATTAATGTTGCTGATGGATAGGCGGCTAGATGCGTCAGTAGATTCCGTATCGGCTATCGCGCAAATGGATTCTGTTCCTAGTTTCCTCCGCGAACTCTCGGGTGCGTTCGGTCTGCTCAAACGGGCCGTCTCGCTGTTACCCCACTGATTTGATGGGGTTTCCTTCATCCTGCTTGCTTGCTCGGTTCCATTTGCGGATTTGAAGCGTGGAATCTGCTTTTCGGGAGGCTTGCCTCGTCGTTTTCCTCGATTTCGCGGGAGATTGGCGCGGAAACCCTCCTGGTTTGCGCTCCGATTCCGAACCAGCAGTGTTCTGAACATTTGGGGGAGCTGTTTGAACTAATTTGGTTTGGTCGCTTTGGGTTTTCCCGTCTCGATTTGGTTTGGTCGCCGAAGTATGCTTGTGGTAATATCGCTTGCGTATGTAGTTAGCATTAAATCCGCTGGAAATGTGGATCCACACGTTCGACGCGATCATACTACTTAGCTGGTGCGTTTTGGTAGAAGCGTCTGGGGATTTTCAGTGCTCGAACTCTTCCTGTGCGTGTGGAATTAGTTTAGTCTCGATTTCTATTTAATTGCTGAAGTTGTGGTAGCAGCCTATGTTCGATTCGTAACTTCACGTCCCTATTAAAATGCTTTGTCTACGGTGGAAGGGGGAGCACAGAGATGCATTATTTACTGGCTTGCACATTTCCAAATTATCATGGAACAGCAGCACGAACTTCTGTCATCTTATTAGTTCGAATTGGGTTTACTAGTTCCTGTTGTTCTAGGAGTAAGATTTTGTGCTGTTCAAATGCTTCCAGTGGAGTACTAAGCGTCTCTATGATTGGGGTTTTACTGTTTGATCCAAACGTGACATACTTTTGGCCAGTTTGAATCAGAAAATCTTCTCTGTAGTTTACAAGTATGCTTTTTCTTGTGCTATGCTGTGAGATTTTCAATGTATGTTCTGCATTTAGGAATTATCTGAGGTTAGTAAACTTCTCTTGCAATGTTTGGGAACCAACTCTCAAACTCTAGTCTCCTTGTTTGATATTGCTGCTTTTAGTAGTTGGGATTGGTTGGCAAATACATTGCAGGATTATTGGTTGGTCATCAGGTTTTGATAGCTTTCACTTTGAAAAGCTGGGTGGTTCATTTCCTATATCACATGATATGTCTTGTTTACATTTCTCTTGTACATCTGTGCCCTAAATTGCAATGTTTTGATCTCTGTTCACTTAACAGATTTGATTATCAGTACCAATATATGTACCTGTATTTGCATGGGCTAACTGTTCTTGGTGTTTAATCGAAGAAATGTATTACACGATCTTTATTGTATATGTATGCGTTTGAACAAAACATTACTGAAAAATATAAATGTGTTTTGTCGTGAATTATGTGCTTCACTCTGAGCTGTTTATCAGTAATCCAATTTGATATATGTTGATAGGTTTTATATTGCTGAAGCACTGGGCTATTTCAATAAGTATCTATATGATCTGGTGAAAATCATAGCATAGTGCGTAGTTTTAAGTTATTCATACAGCTATTTGGATAACATTGGTGTTCTGTTGACCAAACAGACAAGGAATTTGCTCCGGATTGCTATATACAACATCAGCTACATCAGAGGCCTATTCCCTGAGAAGTACTTCAATGATAAGTCTGTTCCGGCACTAGGTCAGGATCGTTGCCCAGTATATATATGTATAATGTAATATCTACATTCTGCTTGACATTTATTAGCTTGAAGTCTCAAACAACCTTATATTTGTTGCAGAGATGAAGATTAAGAAGCTGATGCCCATGGATGCTGAATCCAGGAGGTTGATTGATTGGATGGAGAAAGGTAATATATGTTTAGACAACTTGAGCTCATTCAATTAGTTTACTGTTCTATGATTATATGTTTTAGATGTGCTTTTCTTATCTGCTTATCTGATTAACTTTCTGATTCTAGGTGTCTATGATGCCTTACAAAAGAAATATCTCAAGACCCTTCTCTTCTGTATATGTGAGAAGGAGGAAGGCCCAATGATTGAAGAGTATGCCTGTGAGTATCACCGGGTGGAGTTTGCTAGTGTGTAGTGTATTAAGTTGGACTGACATCGATGCTGGATCACATGCCCTACATTTGCTTATCATGTGTCATAATTATCATGCAGTCTCATTTAGCTACCCCAACACAAACGGGGAGGAAGTTGCAATGAACATGAGTCGCACAGGGAGCAAAAAGAATAGTGCCACATTCAAGTCAAATGCAGCAGAAGTCACTCCTGATCAGATGAGGTGCTATCTTGCATACCCCTTTTTGGATGCTTGGATTTGTTGTTCTTGTTAGTCTTTTGTGCTCCTAAGAGTTAATTTGTGAAGGGTGTTTTTATGTGTACTGTAGTCGTCATAGTAAAGTAATACTGCATGCCGACTGGTATAATATCAAAGATGTGGCTTCATCGAGTGAACAGCATAGGAGTTTAGTGTTCTGTTTTTCTCTATTATAGTGTGTGAAACTTAAGATATGGAGGAGCTATTCACCTCTTGACAATTAGTACTAGTTGAATTTGTAAGTTGCTGTTAGTTTTCCTGCCCGACTTGCAAAATTCTAGTACTGAAGGTATGAAATAGTTGAGGTTTCAGTGTGGTTTTCTCATATACATCCTGCAAATCAGTTTGTGAATTGCTATTCATTGGGTTCATATGTGCATGTCATTGTCAGCATAAACATTGTCAGCTGTAACCAGTGGTAAAATGGCAATATCCTGACGTGGCAATGTTTTCCTTTTAGGAGCTCTGCTTGTAAGATGATCAGAACGCTAGTTTCACTTATGAGGACCTTGGACCAAATGCCAGAGGAGGTAATTTTGCATTCTGTATTTTGGTTACATTGGATTGTGCTGTTCTGATTCTGTCACTTGTTTATGTTCAGCGAACCATTCTAATGAAGCTGCTATACTATGATGATGCTACAGTGAGTGCCTTTGTTTCTAGTTATCGACAGCTGCCATCCTAGATAACCTGATTCTATTGTTCTGTAGAAATAAGGATTTAGCTTTTCTTCTTCTATATAATTTTGTTGGTGGAAGCTTACAGACTTTATTATGTTGCCAGCCTGAGGATTACGAGCCTCCCTTCTTTAAGGGTTGTGCTGAGAATGAGGCCGTAAATATATGGAACAAGAACCCCTTGAAGATGGAAGTGGGGAATGTCAATAGCAAGCATCTTGTGTTAGCTTTGAAGGTAGTGGAAATTACAGCATCTGTCCAGAATTCTTTTGGGGTCTTTTTGATCAATTTCTCATGTTTGCTTTGTTTATGCAGGTTAAGAGTGTCCTTGATCCATGTGATGCTAATGATGCTAACAGTGATGATGACAAGATGAGCGTGGGTCATGAGTCAGACCAAGATGACTTTACGGACACCGAGGTAAAGGCCCAAAGAAATCAGATAACTGATAGTTTCAGTAACATTATCTTTACTTTGCTCTTTTTTTGGTTATGGACATGTGGTACCTCCTTTTTGCATGAAAATGTTCATGGTTAGACATACTGTATTTCCTTTTTTTGTAATCTAAAGTATTCCCTGACACACATAATCCCTGAATCTATTAGGTTCACCCATCTGAAGTGGATCGTTACGTCATTGCTCCTAATGGTAACATTTATCCCATGATGCTCTCATTGTATTTAATGTTTTTGGTGCTAATATACTTGCTGCAACAGATGGTAATGGCAAAGGTCAAAGTGGTACAAACTCAGATGGTCAGTTATTGGTTCAAGAGAGCTTTATTTGCTCATACATATATGTAAATTTTACACGCAGATGTGGTCTATATCCGTTTGCTCTTCTCTAACTTTCATATGTTCACAGATGAAACTCAAGATGCTGCTCATGAGGAAGAGCTAACAGCTCAAGTAAGAGCATGGATATGCTCAAGAAACATGGGTACTGTTAATGCTTCAGATGTCCTTTCCAACTACCCTGACATATCATTGGTAATTCTTGCTGTCATTTTCCCTTTTATGACAAGTATTGATATTTTGGTTGATTATTGTTCTACTTTAGTCACTGGACTTGTGAGCGAGTGACAGATTTCTTTAAGTGTTAGTCCACCAGTGCATATAAACAGACCATGCCTTGATACACTTTACAACTTTTCCAGCCTGCTACTAACAACTGTTTGTTGAATGTTTTGCAGGAAATGGTGGAAGGTAATGCAGAAACAATTCTGTGTGCTCGTCAGATTAATCTTGTAAAGCAGAGGCATTCTTTCTGTATTCTCATTCAAGTCTTGAATTACTAAAGAAATGACTCACTTTTCAGATATTTTGGAGAGGCTACTTAAAGATGGTTTACTTTCGAGGGCAGGCAAGGATGGTTATGCTGTTAACAAGGTCAACCTAAGTAACATTATTGTCTACCACACATGCTATATTGTTCTTCACTAACATGATTATTTCACGATTACAGATTACTGATCCCAAAACACCCTACATAAAGGAAGAGGTTGCCATGCACAATGTTTCACCTACTGAAGGAACCAAGAACAACAGTGGAGATCTGATGTATATGAAGGTGCAGTCCTTTAACCCTTGAATGTCAATGCATGGGAATCTCCCCTAACACAATGTTGTCATTGCAGGCATTATACCACGCACTTCCAATGGATTATGTGACTATAGCTAAGCTTCAGGGCAAGCTTGATGGCGAAGCCAACCAGAGCACAGTCCGAAAGTTGATGGACAAAATGGTGCAAGATGGATACATTAAGAATTCAGGCAACAGAAGATTAGGTAACTGCTTGAACTTATCTTTATGAAGTCAACCTCTTCGAAAATCTGTATGAAGTCGAAGATGCCTTCTTCGACTGTAACCTCTATTCTTCTGGATGGTTCACGTGTTATTTGTTCTTTAAGTGAAGTTGGCCAGCCAGTGGAAAAGAATAAACCAGCCACTAATCTCGTCTTCATTTCCTATAAAGATTTGCTGTGAGACTCAAATGATCAGTTTTTTGCATGTTGATCACTTGCATTTTGAAAAAACTGTTGTATAGCTCCCCTGAAGCAAGACCATTTTCTTCATGAAAAATGTTGTTTACCAGTAATACTTGCATGCTGATCTTTCTTGGATAAAATGCATTAGCTGGAAAGCTTCATAGTTGTTGTGTTCGCTGCAAACTAATCATTGTTAGGATAACCGATCCTGTCATTTTACTGTCCCTATTATACTGTAATAATACATATATGTATCTTCTAAATTCGATCTTTTGCCATGCCAGTTCACACCATCCATGTTATGCAATTTACTATATTTGTTCTCTTTACAAAATGCATGTCAATCTGTGTCTCTCAGGCAAAGCTGTCATTCACTCTGAAGTCACCAACAGAAAGCTCCTTGAGATAAAGAAGATACTGGAAGTTGATATCACTGAAGACATGGTATGACCATTGGTTCCAAGCTTTGTGCACTACTTCTGTAGTAATTCTGCAACTCATTTGTGCATTCCCGATCCATCTCAATCTCTGTTACGTCATGCAGGCAATTGATACCAACGCAAGGCCTGCTGAGTTTGATCGCAGAGATCACCAAACGGCTGGTGAGTGGCAACAGTGATCCAGACATCCATGTTCAGGCTCTTACCTCTGTCACATTGGGTTTGGCAGCAGTTGCTAAACCCTAGAATTTACCTCTTGTCGCAGACCAGGAAATGAAAGATGGCTCGACAAACGGCCGCTTCCAGTCAGTTGGATCTGATCTTACCCGCACACGGGAGCTGCCGGAGCAGCAGCAGACTAACAAGGACCCAAGCAGGACTCCCACAAGCAATCGCGAGGTATGACCGAAGCCTGGTTGGACTTCCCCAAGTAGTCAAGAATTTTGCAGTGTTGAGACTCTGAGCAAGAGCAACCGCAACATATGTAGTATAGTTGAAACGTGATAAACTGTGATGCCTTTCTTGCAGTCGGCCACGTCCCTGGAGAGTGGGGTGCTCGGGCAGAGGATCAGGAAGTCTCTGGCTGGCGAAGAGTCGATGTGCATGCCGGACAAGCGGACCAGGAAGGCCAGCATGGTAAGGAAAAAGTTCCACCTTCCTTCAGTTAACCAAAATGATCAAATCCACAAATCTCACGCATGTGACATGCTCATCACCCTTTCAGTTGCATCAGTTTAACAGAAACCATAAGCTTGACCACCCCTGAATTTTGTCGCAGGTGAAGGAGCCGATCCTCCAGCAGGTCAAGCGCCAGAAGTCCTAGTTCAGTGAGGCGGCACGGAATCGCAAGGAGCCTCAGCGCAACTAACCACGTAGGTCAGGCGAAGAAGCAGAATACCCCTAGTTCGGTACTACTTCAGTTCGTTCAGGTGCTTGAAACTTGTGAAGATAGCGACAGAGCACCCCTTCCGGCAGATGTAGATCCTTGTCCCTAGCCCTATCCTTGGTAGCAAAACGTAAACGAGAGAGACTTGTGCCCCCCCTGAGACGTGTTGTTTATGATGTTTGTTTCACTGGAGACTGCACCGAGGCCACTTTTGCCTGAATGCTGAAACGTAGCAATGTTGGTTGCTTCACGCCATGGTTTTAATGATGTATCTATTTGAACTTCTGTACTGAGCAGCGATGATCGGCGCAAGCTTTTTTCTTCTTGTTGTCTTGGATGCTGTAGCTGTAGGTACTGTTCTGTGGTCTGTGTACGCCGGCGAGCAGTTGCTTGGCGTATGACCAAAGTTTTTCTGGCGGGGACCGTGGTGCAGCGTTTTCTTCTCTCGCCAGCCCTCGCCCGGTGCACGGGCAGCGCGGCATTGATGATGGCAGGCACACTGTCACCTGAAGGCCTCGCCTGGATCGTGTTGGATCGTAGTGGTAGGCTTGAGTGATTGCCGTGTCGGGTCACTGTAGCAGTTCATTCCTTGTCGGCGTTCTGAGTTATTGACGAGGTAGTGGTCACGTATCTCTGCACAGGGCGTCCGGCCGATTACATTTGATCCGGAGTAGTACGTACTGGATCAACTATGGCCCTACGTCTGTTGTCAGGCCTGTCGAGCCGCTCGGCGTGTTTGTGCAACACGACAGGGTTTTCTTCAAGCGAATCATCGCTACGCTTTGTCTTGCTTCGCATCGTTAGCTTGTGATAAACCAAGAGATCGATAACGAAATCCAGTACCCTAAAGCATTGAGCTGTGTCGCAGAAAAATAAGGTTGAGCTGAACCACGCCGGTTTCGAACCAAAGGTCTTGGCTGGGGACATTCTCTTTCAATGGACTCCACATGCCCACACTCGGGGTCTAGTCGAATATTCTTTCCAAATCTAATACACAACTTCAAGCTATTTTTTTCAAAATAATACATTTTTAAATTAATTTGCATAAATATTACGCCGACATTTTTATTTTTAAAAATAATACACCATGTGCCTGCTGCAGGCTGACTGGGCCTAGTCGTCCCACCGCAGGCCGATTGGCTTCTACTATTTGGCTTGCTGCGAACCAATTAGTTCCAGTCGGCTTACTGCGGGCCGACTAGGTGCATGTGGCCATTTTTCTTTTTCTGTTTTTGGTTTTAGTTGTTGTTTTCTATTTATTCTATCTATCAAAACGAATCTGGTTTGTGTTGAAACTTTTTGCATAAATTACTAGCAATATTAACAAGCCACATATAAATTTTCATAATTTTTGGAAAACCACATATTTACAATTGTATTAGATAGCTCCTGGTGAACATAGATAGGGTTTAAATTTATCTATCCAAATTGATTTTGATTTTGATTTTTATAGATGTTAAAATATCGAGGAGAATAGTTTAAAATTTTCTATGAAACAATTTGAGAATACTTTTTTGGCTTATGAAACAATTTGAAACAATTTTTGTGAAACAAAAAAATTGTTTCACAAAAATTGTTTCATAAGCCAAAAAAATTCCTCAAATTGTTCCGACTGGAAGCCAATGGCCTGTGGTGGGCTGACTAGGCCCAGTCAGCCTGCAGCAGACCGATGGTGTATTATTTTTAAAAATAAAAATATAGGCGTAATATTTATACAAATTAATTTAAAAATGTATTATTTAAAAAAATTAGCCAACTTCAATTCGTCCTTTTTTTCTTTAATTTTTTTATTAAAATTAACACAAATTCGAAGTGCCGCTGGAGCACCTCCCCCAAATCTGCTGAAGCCCAAACGCGCGCGCCAACGCCCGCCGCCGCGACAGGCCAGGAGCCCCGCCCCTCCCCGCGATGCCGCCCAAGCCGCACGGCGGCGGCGCCGGCAGCGGCGCCTTCGAGTACTGCGAGCTGTGCCGCCGCAACCACGACCAGGGCAGGCGCCACCGCTACTTCCCCGCCCACCGCGCCGCCCTCGCCGCCGCGCTCTCCGGCTTCCGCGCCAAGCTCGCCGACCTCCGCCGCGCGCTCCTCCGCCCCTCCGCGCCTGCCCCCCGCTCCCGCCTCTGGTGCCCCTTCTGCTCCGCCGACCTCGTCGACCTCGACAGCCGCTTCGCTTGGTAGCCTCCGCCTACTTCTCCTACCCGTCCCTGCACACCTAGGGTTCTGATTCAGATGCGCTGTTTCTAGTTACAGTAGTTCCAACTTTGGATGGTCCAATAGAACACGAGATCGAGCACTGGTAGCGCATCGGGATCAGGGGTTGTTGGAAGCATAGTAGAGTTTTTAGAGATACTGTAGACATCTAGACTTCGTGTGAATGATAGAAGCCCTGTTGTACTCTGTTTTTGCAGTAGCAATGCGATTTACCATCTCGCGAGCGGGGAGCACCTGAAGGGCGTCAAGGATTTCCTGCGGAAGCATGGGGGCGGGATGGATCAGGTCGATTCGTTTAGGATTTCAGAGGCTGAGCTTGCCAAGGTGCAGTGCTATATGTTTTGTGCCTGTATTTCCTCCTGTTAGAATGGCATGATGTGCTTATTTTCACAGCTGTAGTTATATCAAATGGTCTGTTTGGTATTTAGATATGGTATTGGCAGTGAAGCAGGTTAATATGTGCTCTGGAAATAAGATGATGCTGACATATTTCTGCACTGCTGATCTGTTATGTTTTTGTAATTTCAGTGGGAGAAGGGCTGTGAGTCCTCCAGTACAGAAGCACAGGCATTGGCCAATGGCATGATTGGACCATCTTTGAGGCCGTTGAAAGATATCCAAAATGAATCTACCTCTAAAATTTTGGATAGTTTTGCTGAAACTGACATCCCATCTTTTCGTAATACTGCATCTTGTGTTGTTATGCCTTTACAAAGTCCTACCAATGGGGCCTATTACCCCACTAGTACAGCGTGTTATGGATCTTCCACCTCTGGAAGTGTTGCTTATTCTGCTCCATTTGGTACTTCTGGACTGCCTGTCAAACCCTGTGTCACAACACATGGACATCAGGGTATGCCGAGTACAAACGTGTTTCATAGTGCTGATGCACGAATGAAAGGTGAGCACTAGTGTTGAAATTCTCATTGATCTTTCACTTAATTTTTTGCTCTGGACTTTGCTAATTGTACTATTCTACAGCTTTGTTGGTACGTTGCTGATTTCCCTCCCTTTACAGGTGCTCAATCTACTTCCCTCGGAAATGGACCAAATCCACCAGCTTCTTCTTTTGTATATGTAAGTATGTAATATGTGCACACACCCATGTGCATGTGAAAAGTAGACATTTGTCCTTTTGAAAAGATCGCAAGCAGCCTTGTGTATTTTGTTCGTTATTTAGCAGTCATTCTGTAAATAAGATCCACTAAGAAGTTTGAAGTGCTGATGAGTGGCAACGATAAATGGGAGTGTATTCCATTTATGCAAAGAGAAGCTACGGTTAGTTAGTGTTGTTTGAGCTAGTATCACAATGTTTAGGTATCTTGAATCTGAATAGTGGAAGGCTAAACGAGGGGAAGTTGTCATACAGACTCAGGAAGTTAAACCATATGACATGTTGACATCTTTAGGAATGTGATTTTTTGGTTGCAGTCATGCTTGTAGATTTTAGTTTGCAGATATATTTCCTTGAACCAGTTCCTGATCTACATCTGGTTAGTTATATAAACGTGTAATTTATCTTCTTACTATGGTATTGGAGTACTCCAGACATGTTAGATGTGCTATTACATTTATGTCCTGATCTGTCTCCTGCCTCTACTCATGGCCTTCCACTGTTCCCCGGTGTCTTAAAACATGTCTTTACCTCCCCCAGTAACATAATTGCAATTCTTTCTCATATGTAAGCAGAACTTGCACATTATTAATTTCAAACAAATGTAGCAATTCTCTTTTCTTGTACCAAAAGGGTTTTGTTCTAGTTTATGTTTCTTGTTTCCTAAAAGAAGTAATTATGAACCAATTTTTTAATTTTTTTATAAATGTTCATATGTAATGATTTGTTGTTTATATAATCACTTTTCTATGGTGCATGTTGGCATCTCTTTTTTTACAATTCTGCCCTTGCAGGTCCAACAGGGCCACTCTGGAGGGAAATTCAATCAGGGTATTTGACACTGCACTTTCTGTAGTGTATATTTTCCTTGCACTAATCTGAATGTGAAAATGCTGCAGCCTGAGCAAACAAAGATATATCTAGTTAATTCTTTCTCAGTCCATGCATGAAATTTTATGTGATATCATTGTTTTATGAAGGCCTGAAAGCAAATGTGCATACTGGCGCTCCTCCTCCATGGTTAGAAGCTAGTGAGCATGATCCAAAGAATGTGTCACTCGCCAGCTATGCTCTTCCATCTTCTCTGAAAGGAAAATCAAGAAAACTTAACCCAAAGCGTGTTGGAGCTGCATGGGCAGAGAGAAGAAGAGCTGAAATGGAAATGGAAAAGCGAGGTGAAGTTGTTCCAGAAACGCCTGATGCTAGTTGGCTCCCTAATTTTGGTGGTGTCTGGCAATCTGGTTCGCGAAAGGAATCGAGGAAAGAGTTTGAGAAAAATCATAAGCTTAAAGAGGAGAACAATCCTGAGTTACTCCCTGAGATAAAACCATATATCAGCAAAAGGATGGTAAATGTGTTCTCTCACTTTCTCCTCAGTCTTTCCTACATGTTTACTTTGGTATTCAGGATTTCCGTGTTCAAGCAAGTAATCTCTGACCTTTTTTCTGTTCTTCAGTCCATGGTCTTCTTACACCATTAAGATTAGAACATTGATCTCCTTCTGACTTGGCTCAAGTATTGAATAAATAAACTTAATTATCCTAACTGCTTTGTTATTCTTTTGATTTCTCTTGATTCCTGATATAAATTCATCCATGAGACCTTGTGTTGTTTATAGAGGCTTGCAAGTGCGGTAAAAGTTAAGATGAACTATTGCACCTCTGTGCAGTCGTAAAGCAGTTTAGAGTGTTATATGTGGTTGTATGGTAGAAGGAAACATGGAGTGCATCGAGAGATTAATAGCAGTCCTAAGAAATCTGCTGTAGAGAGTTCTTGTGCTATTTGTATTTTGTACTGTTATAGAATTTGTGCAAGTATGCCCTAGATGATATTTATGCATTTTTTCTCTTTATTCTTTGTATATCCGGGTTATGCTTTCGGACGGCTATCTCTTATGCTTGTGTTTACTATTGCAGCGTGTAGGCTCTAATAAAGATGGACAACCGGACAGCACCGTAGAATAGTGAGGAGATGTGCATTGTCCTGCCGGATGCTTTATGGTACGAATCTAACTAAATTCAGTAAATGGTAATTTGGAGCTTTTGACTCGTATATCCAGGAACAAGAAATCACGTTTAATTACTGAACAAGACTCCCCTTGTTCCGTTATCGCTTGATAGTGGAACCAGGTCCAATTCTGGATCGTATGGATATTTTTTTACTGAACAGCACCAAGTTATGATTGAAAACTAGATTCCTTAACTCTCCTGTCTTCACATAACGCAGTATGTACTCTCTAAATTTCTAATAAGAATGTGTTGTGTCAAAAAAAAAGAGACAAAAATGAATAAATGCTGTAGTTGCTGCTTTCCAGGAACAGAAATCAGAGGTGCTACAAGAACGTCTGCACATGTGCAACTAAATGTGGCATTGGGTACTCGTAGATGGTCCTGCTATCTCTTTTCCAAATGCAATAGACCCACCCAACAACTGTTTCTTGCTTTCCGTCCATCGCTATGCGGTTTGGCGTCTGCAGATTGTGGTCACGGTAGGTTTTCTGTAGAAGTTCTGCAAAACGGTCCAGTGGGCAGCTTTTGTTTCTGTACAGGAACGCTCTGGATCGTGTCGTGGTTGAAGGAAAGGCAATCTCTTGGGCGCATGATTGAAGAGATCTTTTTTTGTTTGTAGTTTGACAGTGTGTGCAGTGCCAATCAACCCAAGTGAAGAAACGTTGGG